AGACCAAAACGCAATTCACCTGCACTGTTCCAACACCTCCCTCTCCCTCTTCTCCTCCTCCCTGTCTCTCCACCATCTGTACCTGCAGACAGTAAATCTCATACAGATGCTGTTTGTGAGACCTGTCCACCTGCACGCCCCCCTTTCTCTATACCTCCCTCTGCTCTCCTTATCTGTGCTGCTACCTCCATAAAACATGACTGTCAAGAGCAGAGACAGAAGAGAAAACTGCAAGGCAAATGAAATTAAAAAAAGGAGGAGTTAAACCATTTTGGAGCAGAGCGATGCAGCGACTAAGAGTGCAAGAGGGGTGAGATAAAAATAATATGTCAACAAATAAGATGCCACCTGGAGTTCTGCCTGGTTGCAGCTGTAAGGATCAGCACTATTCCCTCTGATCATGTGTCAGGATTTGTACAATCAATGGCTTTAAAACACATGCCTGCTGACCCCTCTTCTGCCTCTACTGTTTCCCCTGGTTGAGTGTTTTCAATCCATCGCTTTTATATTGCACTTGAAAGAAAAAAAGAAAAAAACAACAACAGAATTGCAGTATGCAGAGAGCAGCTGTGGTGAAATAAAAGAAAAGGAAAAAGCAGAGAATAGGGAGAAAGAGAGGTTAGGAATAATAATAGCTGCACTTGAGTAGCAGTGCTAGCTGATAGCTTTCTCCTCCCTCCTCCACAGCTTCAGTCCACTCACAGGACAGCAAGAGTCACAGCTCTGTTGCCATGGTGTCTGACTCCATCAAACACTACGTCAGGTGCATGTGTGTCTATGTGAGCATGTGTGAGTGCATGGTGTGTGTGTGTGTGTGTGTGTGTGTGTGTGCGCGTGTGTGAGTTTGCGGAGGTGTGTGTGTATGTGTCAGGTGGGTGTTACCAAGTGACTCAGAGCCACATCACTGACTTGTGGCTGCAATATATCAGGGTGTTTGGAATTTATCATTGTATTGGCTTATGCATGCACATGTGTGTGTGTGTGTGTGTGTGTGTAAGAGTGTGAGGGAAAGGTGTTGATTGAACAGCAGCCTGCCCTCAAAAGCACCTCTGATGGATCTCTGTGCTACTCTGTGTTAATGTTTAGCTCCAGCTTCTATAAATATTTATCAATTCGTTCATAGAGACAAAGCAATGCACTACAGACACCAGTAATATGGAATTTTGATTTTAGAGCTGGCAAGTGGCTGTGCCCAAAAAAGGCCCTGCAGTTGTCTTCCAGAATTACGCTGAATTGGGAACGGGATGAGGTGTCTCCCAGCACGTACATGCATTGTAACTGTCTAGAAAAAGCTTGAACAGTTTGTCCGAGTTATACAATTTACCGTTTTCAATTGCCCCATTTAGTGCACAGATGCCAGATAAAGATTTAGTGACATGCTCATGGACACTTCAGCAGGTCATCTGCTGTCCCACATTTGCCAAAGTAGTAATACCACAATGTAAGAAGTAATCCATTACCAGTAAAAATCTTGCATTCAAAGTTTTACTTTTGGCCACTTGGGGGCAGAGAGAACAAGCTGTAAACAGCACAACACTACTTATTATCACCTTATAAAGTTGTCACAGTGAACTTGCTGGCAAACAGTTGCCAATTTACAGATCCAGCAGATACGGAATCATCATATTCGGGGTCATGCTTCTGGAAACATGGCAAATCTAAGTCCATTATTCACTCTTCTTTTACCTCTAATTTGTTCTCTACCCACTCCAAGAGTAAAATGACTCTTTGGCTATTATGTTCACCAACTAGTCGTTAGCTTTGTCTGTCAGCCCTTTGGTGCTGGATAGGAGTGCACAGTCCGTTTTTAGAGCTTTTTCACATGAAAATCTGAAAGACTGAAAGTGAACCTGAATGTGTCCTGTCAGTGTTACACTATATTATTTAAGATTATATTATTTAACTTTTACTAATTGTGCATTCAAATTTAAGCAGCATTGTAATGTTGTAGCTGACCAAAATGGAGAAAATCTAAACTAATTTATATACTGTTATAGTTCAATTTACTGTATAACACTGCCCTAAGTGAAGTACTTACTTCACCTGAGACAAGTAAAGTGCAAAGCAAAACGGCAAAGTAGAATAAAATAGGAACACAGGTAAATCACAAGTACCTCATCATTATACTTAGGAACAGTACGTGAGTAAATGTACTTTCCACCGGAAAGTAGAAACAGCACAGTGAAAGGTTTTGGATTTGCAAATAACTGCTGCAACTGCAGATAATTTAATGCACACTAAGGTTCCTGCTCACTGCTCTGCTGATGTCTGTGTATGGAGGAGAAAATGAAAAAGACTTTTGAGCCTCTGCTTTCAAACACGAGCCATCGTCCCTCACATCCGTGCTCATTGTGATCACATCGAAATGAGGCCACAGATCCATGAACATGTGGACATGTGTCCCTAATGTTCCAGATCATTAAAGACCAGAATTAAGGAAAAAAATGAGAAAAAAAAATGAGACAGGGGTTGAAGTTGGACAAGGAGATCTGGATCCATATATCACCGTTGATCCATGTTGTTAAGCACAGCCAGAGCTGGACAGAGAGTAAAAGAATATCTACTGGAGAACCTCAAGGATCTTATGATGGAATGGAAAATCCAGCAGGGCAACCCAGTGTGTGTGTCTGAGAGGTTTTCAACATTCAGAACAGACCTCTGCTCCATTGTTGAGTATCTAAGGTCAAATCATTAAGTGGATCATCTTCAAACAACAGCAGCTATTTCAATCCGTTGAAACTGCATGACCTTGCAGAGCCTCTGCACCTTTCTCCTCAGTCTGAACAGTTCTCTGTTCAGGTACCAACATATTCTGGGGCCCCAAAATGTGACCTCAGTGGAAAATGTGGGAATATGTCAACAAAGAGCTCTATAGCGGACCAGTAGTGGAATAAATGAATAACCATTGTTCAAAAACCTGCTAAACTCTGAAACTCCCTGCTGAAAGTGCTATGGTATGACCACAGTTACACAGAGCCCTGCTGGATTTACTCTGCTGGATTTACTTTTGTGATCTGCTTGAGCCAGCATTAGAAAGCAGCCACTTACAATATCTCTCAGCTTCATCTCGAGCACACTAAAATGCACACACTTTCAAGAACACATTATACACCCTGATAACTACAGTATGCAGACACGTACATTTACAGTTTTATCAGACAGTTTGAGTCTCCCAAACACCAGAGCTGAATTAGTAGAGAGAGGAGATATTGATGCTGCTGTCACAGAGGTGTCTGGTGGATAATTCTATCACGTGACGACACAGATAGTGATGGGGGGCTCTTAATGAAAGCAACCATAATGAAATGAAATTAAAAAGAGAAGCCTCTCCATTTTGAGTTCTGACAGGTGGGTTTCTGCAGGGGAAGAACAGATGTCTGCTAAATGGAGACAAACTGAATATTCAACTCAACTGAGTTTTCATTTGATCTGCATTATGGCTTTTTTGCATTTCATTTCCTAAGCCATAAATGCTCTTTGCATAGTCTGTGTTCAGCATATACAGCTTCCAATGTCCACATAACACACACTGTCAAAAGCAAGACGCAAGACTTACAAGTTTAACAGTCCTAACGCTCCTCAGAGACTTTCATGTGGTACAGGATATTATGAATAAAATTACCCTGACCTGTATTTTATTTAAAAGCTGGATTCTGAGATATTGCAACAATGTTTTCCTGTATATCCTTGTATATCTGACATTTAAATTATGTCTTTTTGGAATTAATATCTAATTTAGAAATCATCAGTTTCATTTCAAAACCTATTTCTCACTCTAAGCCCTTTTATGACCTTCCGCTGTGTCTCCACATGACAGTGTTGAAACATGATTTCACAATGGGGTCCCAGGGTGGAGGACTGAAATTTCCCATTTGAGACCTGAGGTAATAAAGTTTAAGAGTCCCTTCCCTAAGCTGCTGCAGTCGCGCTTTCCAGGCTGTCTGTGCTTCTGGCGCAACAGATATGGTCACAAGCCTCAGTGGCTGTTAAACCACAAAATGACCCGTAATGGAGGAGCCACACTTCTACCCGCCTATCAGCTTGCACTGCTGTCATTTGACACAATATGAGACTACCTCAAAAACAGAGGTTGTTTTTTTAAGTGTTTGTAGTGTTGTAGAGCCAGCTATTGTTATTTTAACTCTCATTACTAAGAGCTTTGGAAACTTAATCATAAAAAGCCTCATCTGTGATTGTCCTCATGATGAACTGTAACCTCTAATGCCTCATTTGTTTAAGTTGTTTTTGACTGGGCACAATAGGGTTTTTATATATTATTTATATTTTAAATTACATAATTAGTCTTACTTTAGTATTATGTGAAACATATCAGACAAAGTCATCCAATATTAACCGGTTGTTATGGAAATAAACATTTAAAACTAAACTTCACATATTACTGTTAAAGTCCTATTACTTTACTATTTTTGAAACATTTGTAAATTTTCTAATTAACTTCTGACTATTCACAAATATCATAATATAAATATGCAGGACTGTACCCAATGTGCATGAAAAAGTTAAACAGTCTTCAGAATGACAAAGTGAAGTTACCTTTTCCTAAAAGTTACAGTGTTCACCAGCACTCCAATAATATCAGCGTATGCAAAACCTTTCCAAAATATTCAAATCAGCTACAGCTAAAGAGTATCTGCAAGCTGGAAGGAAAACTATGCAAAAACAAACCCAGTGATAGACAAAAGCTGACAGATATTCCACATGCCTATCAGCTATTTCAAATCTCCTCTCTAAGATATATCCTCGGTTTGGAAAAATCCAAAACAATAATTCCAAGTAAGAAAAAAATAAAGCAGCAATCACTAGCAACAGGCAGGGAAGTTGTCGGAATCATAACATGTCAAATATTAATGACACCCTGTTGTCTGTATCGAGCAACTCTCCCCTCTCCTCCTCTCAAAAGGCAGATGGATAAAGACGGATGAGCAGACCATCTTGTGAAGCCAGTAGCCGTCCACTCGGTCAGAGAAAAGCTGTCTTACCTGCCTGGTTGTCAGTGTGTTTCTCTTGCACTCGGTCTGGGTGTATGAGTGTGTGTGCACTCACACACAATCCCCACGAACAGGAACTGATGAATCTGCACGACTTCAGCCCTGCAGCGTGCAGTGCATTATGGGGTTTCAGTCTCTCTCTCTCTCTCTCTCTCTCTCTCTCTCTCTCTGTCTCTTTCTCTCTACTGTGTGTGTGTGCGTCTCTCTCTCTTCCTCTTTCTGTTGGCACAGTGTTAGAGGGGGATGTCCTCGCCTCCTGTCTGGAGAGAGGAGGGTGAACTGACACGCGCTGTGTCCACACACACACACACACACACACACACACACACACACACACACACACACACACACTCACACACAATGCAGAAGAAGCCTCATGATGACGACCGCCGCGGCTGTGGTTGCCGTAGCAACAGCCTCCCTCTCTCCCTCCACCCCTCTCTTGCTCTTGTAGCTCTTCTGGCTCCCCCTCAGTGTATTCTGTTTAAATAGTGAAATAGAGTGCAACAAAAAACAATGTTTCACAAACTGCACTCATTCTATTTGCCTCTACTTCTTCTATTTGATATTTACTTAAAGCCTTTAACCTGACTGGCTGGTAATGCAGACATGAGGAGAGGTCATGTGATCAATAACTGTTGCTTCTGCCTTCTGAGATAAGGAGAGGGTGGTGTGTACTCAGAGGGAATAAAGACAGACACACGAACGTTTGTGTAAAAGCACATGCAAAATGCAAGCGAATGGGAGAGTGGTCTCAAACCTTTGGACCCCACTGTACATCGCTGAGCTAGTGTGTGTGCGTGTGTGTGTGTGTGTGTGTGTGTGTGTGTGTGTGTGTGTGTGTGTGCGTATGTGTGTGTGTGTGTGTGTGTGTGTGTGTGTGTGGGTGTGTGTGTGCGTGTCTGTGTGTTTGAGTGAGTAGGTTGATTTGGTTGTTCCTGGGAATAGGCTGTAGTTCCTGTTTGTGGTCTCTGTCCTTTTTCTCCATTGCTACTGTTAGTGCACTGAGGCCTGCAGCCCTTTGATAACACACATTTCAGTCACATTACCAACAAGGGAAGTACAGCTAGACTGACAAATGAAATGAATGGGTTGTATGCACACATGCATGCAGGCAGCAAGACACATAGGAAGACTGAGTGGGCCCTCTGGTGTAATTATTTCAATTTTCATCATTTTTCACCTTCCTGGAAGTTGGCTTTAGCTGTTATTTAGTGGGCCCATTCAAAATGATTATTGGAGCTCAATGGGTTATCAAGGAAAGAAAGGGTTAACAGACAGAGAAGGAACAGAGCGACAGAGGGAGAGAAAGAAAAATGGAGGGATAAGTACTGTAAAGGAGAGAGAATGAGGGTGAGGAAGTAAAGGAGACGAGACCTCCTCTCCACCGTCTCCCATGGCGACGGAGTGGGTGGAAGGCCGTGGCTGTCCTTCAGGCCCTGTAAATCAGCAGCTCACAGCTGAGTCCTGCAGCGCAGCCATTGCACTGGCAACCCCTAATGCTCAATCTTTCAACATCTTCCTGTTTTTTTTGTTTGTTTTTTTCTCGCAGCTGTCATCGCTCTCTCATCGCTCTGTCCTGTCATGCTCCAAATCCAGCCTGACCCGACAGAATCTCTGTCACCAAAACACGTGCATGTTCACCTTCATACGTTTACTGTATATCAAGACAAGTGATGGCATCGCGCTAGAAAGAAGCTAGGTGGTCAGACCAGTTAAGAAAAAAACTACATCTCCCACAGACCTGTTCTCCGTCTTTCCAGTATCCATGGGAACAGGTAGGAACTGGGATTCACTGAGCATTGATTGTTGAAATTCTTGCGAGGATGATTTAATCAGTGAGTTTGGAAAGTGGGAGCAACAGGTGGTAGTGAGTGTACCAGCATACGTGTACTTGATTGTCGATGCAGGTGACCAATTCATACTTGCTGCTCTACTTTATTCTTTAGGTCTGTGGAGAATGTTCCACTAAGTTAAAGCTTACTCCTCCAGGCATTCAGCGCTCTGCGGGACAGAGTCAATAACAGGGGCTTTTCCGTGGCATTTTTTGCCTCTGGAAGAAGCATATATCTGAGCAAGCTGGCATTATCACTGAACACTCATGTGGTCCGAGTAATGAAGGGTCCTTGAGTTTGAGGGACACTGAATAACCTGCTCAGATTTGAAAGGCAGGGTGATTAGTCTACTCTTTGGGACTAATGGCAACAGCAGGTGTCCACAGGCTCCGTGTGCCACATCTATTCATTAGAGACATTAACACTAACCACTCGCACACATACACACACACACACAGAGCTCACCGCTCATTGGAACCATTCATTAACAACGTCGCAGTTCCCCTTAAGCGCAATGACCATTGATTAGGTTTATGCATAATGATGGTGGTGGAACTGCTGGTGTAATTATTACTACCCTCAGACTTTTGTTCACCTCGGTTTAGATTTTTTTGCAGCACACCTGAGCTGTAGGCACTGTGCCTCTCTCTGCATCTGTATATCCATAGCAGACCTACATGGAGTATTACTGTGTGAATGCTGCATTACAGGACAGTAACCCTTGCACATGCATGCAGTGCAGGATTCATGGGTGGGGAGTGGCGAGTCTGTGGTACCAATTTATTTGTAAATATTAATTTGAAAATTAAATAGCATTCGTTTTTTAGCTTTTTGGATATTCTATGAGTCACATCACAATCCACTGTGATTAACGTATATCATTTCACACACATTAAAATATGAACATTGCAAACCTCACTATAGAGACTTTAAGGCCCAGTAAATAATTTGTTTTGTGTGATCTCAATACAATGATGATTTGAAATTTTATAGATACTTTCAGAACACCTCGTTGTTATTTTATCCTCCATCTTTATTCTCAGCACCACGGGTAGCCCTCAGCAACTGGCTAAGCTAGCAAAGGTCAGTGCAACTTGGGGTCAAAGTTCAACAAATTTGAACTTTGGGCACAGTATGTATCTGAATAAATCAGCATTCCCAGAAAGAAAGGGGAAAAAAAAGAAACCCACCACATCCACAGTTATGGAGGAGGCCCACACAGTAGATAGTTTTAGATTGTTTGTTAAAAGCATTTTTGTTTTGATCAAATGAGCTATCAGCGGATGTAGGGACTGCTCTGGGAAGTAGCTGTTTGAAATATTTGAGTTGTGCCTTGCGTTATCAGATATAATTTAATATGTGAAAGATAAGTGGTCATTGTATTCACTGTTGCAGTAGTTGAAGGATAAAATGTATCCTTCAACTTCCTCCTCCTGCTGTAAGTAATAAAGTAAGGTAGATTTCTTTTTTCATAGCTTCCACAATTTATCAATGTTTGCTTTAGAAGAGAAATTGTGAGCTTCCATAGTAGGTGTCACACATATGATCTTTAAGCTCCTGTATCATATTGCATGCACAGTGAAAGGAATGTTAAAACAGAGGGAATAATCTGCAGTGAATAACATTAGTTTCCTGGTCGTAATCTCACATATGCAGGTACAGTACACGTCCTGAAAAGTCTAAAAGCTTTAATTTAACTATCCTCTGATAGCTACAATTGCTTGTGGCAGAAATATTTCTAAAGGCTCAGTACCACTGAGCATCTAAACAGCACTGCATCTCAAACCACAATTTAAAGAGAGGGTTCCTGGGTGTAATCTGAACTAAAGTATTTAAGGCTTGAGTTCCAGATGCTGGTGTCAGGTTGAACAGGCTTTTCAAATGGTGCATCTGACAGCAAAATAATATTTACCCATTTATTTTTAAATACATCTTCCCTGATCTCTATCTGAGAGACGGAGTGCGGCTGGGTGAGGGGTTCGATGTCTGCCTCTGTTATAATCAGTCTGTTCCCACAGAGAGAGACTCACACCAAACAGAATGGGCAAGAGTCACAGTGTTGAATTCTTTTTAATATTCTTTCACATGCAGACTATCGACAGTCCCTTCAGTACCATCCCAACAATATAGGCCTTTTGCCATGGCAACTGAGAGAAATATTAGTCATGCCAAAATTAAATAAAGCTTCATATTTTCCTCTTAACAAAATTATATCACCTCTGTAATTGGCTAGTGGAACAACATTATCAAAACAAATAATTTAGCTTGATCTTTGCAGCAAACAGAAAAAAGCAATAACCTTTTAAAGAGATGCCTGACAAACAGTATGTACTAATCTGTTTCCTGATAAGGCTAGAGCCTAAAAGAGAATGCCAAAATGTTGTCGTCACCCTCACATTAAAAGTTGAGTTGAGAAACATCCACCACACAACACCAATGAAATGCCAAGTGCAGCTTCTGTGATGACCAGAGAAGTCACAGAAGCAAAAAGCAACAAATCTCAAGAGTTTGGCAAGAGTCAGAATATTCTCGACGAATAGCAACTCAGTAACCCCTCCCATATGAACAACACATCCAAAAAAGCCTTTGTTGTGAGGCCAGGTGTAACATTTAATCGCTAAAAAAATAATAAAATCATAATAGTTTATTCGAAGTCACCTTGGAATGCAAAGGCTGACAATTATGTTGAACTAATTTGGCCACAAAAAGTACATGAAAATTCCTTAAAAACAAGAAGTGGATATCCTCAAAAATAGGGAGTGCCTTGCTCCTAAAGAAAACATGTTCAGCTCAATGCTTTGATTTGTTTTTTTTTTAGAAATGAGATGTCAATAAGTGAGCTGTTGAGAACGCTGCATGTAAGCAATGTTAAAAATATGCAATCAGAAAGTTAAGTATTCAGTATACATTATACATAACCCCCATTTGTTCCAATTAAAAGGCATTCAATCAAATCTGCTTACCGAGGTGATCGTCCTCTGGCTGTCAGCTTGACAACCAGTTCAGCACCGCTGCCCCTGACTGCGTTCCACAGATGAATGCCACTCCATTGTTGGGACAATAATGTGATTTGTTGAAAAGTGTTAGAAGAAAATTCCTTGTTAACGCCACTCAGACAGAATGGTGCAATGTAGCTGCAACCTTGTCTGTTTGTGGCGGTGTCTTTGGGGGTGCAGAATGCAACGTATACTATATGCTTACAGCTAAACCAGTGCAACATGCAGTACATTCGAGTACTGAAGATACAGTCAGCTGCCTAAAAATGCAGAGAAAAGAGCTTGTACTATACATCAAATGCAAACATGAGGAATACTGACTAAAATGAATTTCCCTTTCAAAAACCTGTGAAAATATGAGAATGCTAAAACAGCCTGCATAATAATTTACAGGAGGTCAGGCTCTGTACA